AACAACAACAACAACAACAATAACAGCAACAACAATAACAACAACAACAACAACAACAACAGCAACAACAACAACAACAACAACACGACGACGACGACGACAATACAACAACAGCAACAATTTAAGAACGTTACCCCTGGTCGCTTTAGGCCTACAAAGTTACTGTCGTAATTCCAGTATTCTTAAGGTCAAACCCGAAGACTATCATTCTTTTTCCCCCAAAACTATCATTAATTTTTTTAAAATTTAAACTATGTTGTATAGATCTATAATGTATACTCAGGTAGTGCTAGATCTATATGCTGTCACTGAGTACATATAGAGGTAAATCTTAACTGAAAGAGTGGGAAACCGAAACTAACTCTTACTTCAATTCTAGTAAATTTACGTCGCCAATTAGGGCAGTCCAATAGGGTTACCCGGGGGTGGTTACCTTATTTGGTCTTCATGAAGCCCAGAGACGATAAGCTCGCCTCGCCCCAATGACCATAGAACAATAAATGGACGCCTCTCTCAAGCATTTTTCACTGCACCGCGCGCGGCGTGCAGAGTGCTGGGAAAACGATGCCCAACTATGGTCAAGAAAGTGCTATAAATTGTATGTGTGTAATGTTGAAAGTAAAGGGACCTCACTTTAGATAGCATACTGTCACATATAATCAGTGAACAAAAGAGAGCCAATATCAGCTTTGTCTGATTGATAACCATTAATGTCATCTGCATATTATTAAGAGAGTAGGCTTAATTTGTTTTTCCTTTTTCCATTATACAAAGTGCAGACTCTTAAGATTTTTAATTATTTTCAAAAATCAACAGTTGCCTCGGTCTTTTAAAATAGGATAACAGCTTACAAATATCGATGCAGAAATATGTTACAGTCTTAATTGTTAGCTTGTGTCGTTGTCAGTTTTCATCATAAGCAGCCCGCCTTCTCAATAGTCAAAACTGTCTGTCCATGACATTCGGGTGTTAAAAATACAAATTATATAGGCTACAACCAGACCATTTATACCATTGTAAATCAAATCAAGCTCAACACATCCAAATTGTGAATGTGTTTGTAACGTGAACGTTTTTGTTGCTACTATTTTGTCTCTGCTGTTGCTGTAGCTCTTTTCGATGTAACGAATCTGGCTGCTTAATTACCTGAAACTCGTTTGAGCAAACAAATTTACTCACATTAAAAGAAAAGACTACTTTTATCAGACCGGACCCTCGGTGTCAGATTGGGACGAGAAAGCTGGGCTGAAAATATACATGAGGTAAAAAGCACAGACAAAATATCTTACCTGTAGAATGTCCTGCACTACTGACAGGTTATAATATTATGATGAGGGCACTCAGCCGGTTGACTAAGCTCGCAGGTACGTTTGAACAGTGGGGCGGCGAACTAGGCCTACAATATATAATATATATT